GCTCAAGCCCCCCCGCCGGACAACTTAGCCCCCCCCCCCAGAAAATATATGAGCCGCCACTGATAATATACTGTAGGCCTATTCCAAAGTACCGAAATGCATTAGTCCCACTTCATGAATAAAATGTGTCCAGATTTTTCATATATAGCCTAAAATGGGTACATTTTTTAGAAAATGGGTCCAGATTTTTCATAGGCCATTTTTGCATAAAATGGGTCAACTTTTAAGAAACTGGTTGGGTCCAATTTTTTGATTACGCATATCAGGGAGTTGTTATTTTTTTTAAATAAAACAACTCCCTGCGCATATGCAGTGGGTCCACCCTGATTGATTGTCCCGCACGTCTGTTTGAAAATCTTGGTTACGGCATGGGTTCAAGTCCGAACCATTACCCCCACCGCCAGGCTACGAGCCTGGAAACTATTTTGGTATTCATTTTTGATTTCCCATTATAAAAAGACACTCGACTTTTGGACTTTGATGTATATCGTAACCATGCATTTAGACCGACCAGTGTACCGATCGATTTTGATAGATTCTGTTATACGCTACGGTAACACGAGGCATTTCTACCAATGAGAGCGTGGATATAGCTTAGAATTCTCATGTTATACGCTACGGTGGTAACAATGTGTTTAAACGAATCAGACTGAAGAACAGAATTGCATTATCCAATTGACGACGGGATTAATGAAGTTGCTATGGAACAACAAGCTACCTGTCGAATAAAAGGGAAGCTTTCTGTCTGTAGGAAAAGATTAAAAATATCCACCGATAGCAGTAGCTAGTTAGGAGGCGCCGCCGTTTGAAGATATACGAATTGCTTGTTGTACCTGGCCTATTCTTCAACAAAATTATCTAATCTGGTAAGTTTAATATTTTTTTAAGGGTGTGCTTTTTATTTTAATTAGAGTATTGTGACCTTTTAGTAGGCATGTCTGTAGCCTAATAAATAAATATTAAATAATTAAAAAAAAAAGGCGCGCTCATCCATCATATTCATACATTAATAATATACATTTTCCTGGATAGGCTAGCCGATGTAGGCCTAGATAGGCCTCTGCCTAGATTTAGGCCTGTGAGTGTGAATGATGATGATTAAGCCTAGGATTTCTACTCGGAATGCAGTCTACGATCTTCAAATCGAACACTGCCAATCCGGACCACCACTCAGGACTCAGATAATGAAACAAGACTGCAATGCATAATAGGCCTGGAGGGCCATGGCCCAAGATATTCACTGCGTTGCGCCTTTGATCTTGTTTAGAATTGGCGCCATATAAATTCGAGATGATATTATTATTTTTATTAAGAAAAATTATACAGCCTACAGTAATGTATTACAATGTTTTACTTTTACATACATAAAGGGTATATGTATTATTCTTGATGATGCTTAAATTAAAGCGAAACGTTGAATATACAGTATTATAATAATGGCCTTGTCAATTTTTGGAGTGACATTCATACTATTTTCACAATGTTTTTTCTTTCAGATTTCATCATCATGACTGAGAGGAAGGCTGTAGTAAAGAATGCCGATATGGCAGAAGAAATGCAGCAGGATGCAGTAGACTGTGCAACGCAGGCAATGGAAAAATTCAACATTGAGAAGGATATTGCTGCTTATATCAAGAAGGAATTCGACAAAAAGTACAACCCAACATGGCATTGCATTGTGGGAAGGAACTTTGGTAGCTATGTCACTCATGAAACAAAGCACTTCATCTACTTTTATCTTGGACAAGTTGCTGTCTTGCTCTTCAAATCTGGATAGAAAGATAATGAATTGACTGATAATTCAAATTAAGATATTAAATGAAAGTTATGAACCAACTGTAACATTGCTGGACATTTTCACCTGATCAGCTTACAGTAGTTGGTGGAGACATGGAAACTCTGAATGCATGCCAAGTAGAGTAATTGATTTGCAACAGATGAAGCATTCAATTTGCATCTCAATGTTGAAAACATTTTAAAAACAGAATAATGACTTTGGTTTATTATTTATACATTCCCTTCAAATTTTATTAGAAATTAAACATGGAAAATCATGTAACACTTCTGTCTACTGTGTTTTTTTTTGTCCTAACCAATTAGCAGAGCTGCAATGTGAGTGGTTTGGAAGCGAGCGTGTTTGTTGATGCCATATGATCCATTCCCATACCAAATCGCACAGTACAGTAAATCTAAAAAAAAAAACATTTTTAGACTGGTTTATGAACCTTCAATTAGGATTTTATGGTCAATAACTTTCGTACAGTACTTCATTTTACATGTGGTATTAAAAAGTTAGTGAAATAAAGAACCGTGCCTATAAAAAATTCAATTGTCCTGGCAGTGATGGTCAGCAGCACTCTCTTTGCTGCCCGGGGTGCTGCTTGTCTGTGTGTTAGGTTAACTGTGTTTAATTTTTATTAGGAAGTTTGCTTTACAGGGGTAATAACAAGTTGGTGTACCAAAAGACAGTGCTTGTAAAATACATTTCAGCTATCATACTGTTTCATGCGGAAAACGTTTTGTATTTTTCAAAACAAATGTTTAGAAGGGAGGCGCTGGCTTTTGTGTGATCAATTAAAGCGACCCACCAAAGTTGACTAAAACGACTGTTAAACTTGATGACATGTCTACTAAGATTTTTGTTTTTTTTGTGTAGGTCTACAATTAAAAGCCAGGGGAAAAAAAAAAAAAAATTAGCGGAAAGAGTCTCACTCCAATGTATGATTGCTTTGAACTCGTTGGAGATTACCATTGCCACGTGAAGTAAACTCTAAAAATAATTTATCAAAACCAGAGAGCTAGGCTGTGCATGATACACAAACTGTGTATAACAGCTCTTGTATTTCACTCTAATGAGTTTCAGATGTTAAAAGTTGTCTCATTTTGGCGAAAAAGACGATCATAGTAAACAAAAATAGTTGTAATATCCAGTGGCGAATTCAAATTGGGTAGCAGCTGGCCCTTTCCCACCCCTAATTTCAAAATTATAAAAGATAGAGAATAGTCAGCCCAACCATAAATTTTTTTACCTCAGCCCAACCATTGGGGCTGCCAAAGACTGTATATGAATTGCATTACTGTACATTGAATGTCAAAAAGTTGAAAAAAACCTCCCTATTTTTAAAAAATTTGAAAACGGAGAAAAAAGATATTATATTCTGAGAGTGCCATTTACAGCCAACTAGAGGTGCCATAATCATAATCCACCTCTGGACCCCACCAGGGACCCTGGGCTACCCTCTGGTCCCCATGGGCCTTTCATATTTTGCAATTCGTCTCCCCCTCCCCTTCACACTTTTCACAACTGATCGACGCCCTTGTATACAGAACTTCTTGTTCTTCACGAAATCATTTTCGTTCCTGATGCCACTGTTCATAAGTACAACTCGACTAAGCTCCTACTCGATAGTTGAACGTGTGTAGATACCTTGCTCGTTGGCATTATGATATTAATTAAGTATACCTCTATAATTAATTTTTTTTTGTTTATTGAAGATGTATTGTCCCTTAAAAATGACAAAAAATCATAAAAAAATAATTTTGAAATTAACTTGCTTATTTTGCAGTAAATGATACAAATTATTAATTTGAGCATAGAAAATATTGAATTAAAAAATGTGTACCCTGATTTTTAAACTGGATAATTATAATAAAGCTAATAAAATACTTCCAGTGAATGGAAGAAATTCTATCATTTTTTTCGCTGTAAAATGATGGGTAAACATTTTTTAAATATACTACTGTACTGTAAAATGTTTATGTTCAATTTGATAATGTTTACTTCACTGAAAACGAACAAGTTAATTATTTTCATAAATGATTTTTATAATTTTTTTGTGTTATTTTTGCATGGGACAATACATTTTAAAGTATAGGCCTGGTTTAAGTATATTTTTTATGTTTATTTAGGTATAGTTAAGTGATTGTTGTATAATAGTAATACTGTATAACGTCTACAGCCAGTGCAAACAAAATTTCCATTATCACAATGTTACTTGGACGTACAATCTTGTCTTTTATAATGTACATTAATGTAAGTATGTTATATATTTTATTAATTTATTGACCAGGGGTTTAGAGATGACGACTTGATGTGTTGGGTTTTAGTCCATGCTAGTCTCTAGACACGTTCCTGGTCAATGTTTAGGCCTATAATTAAATTGTGTCGAATTTGTAACAAATAAATAATTAATTAATTACCTGCATTGGTGTATTTTGCAAACAACGCCCCCTGGGGTCACCATTTTGTTCAAAGAGGGCGCTACTAAAAGGACGCCTGATCGAAAGGACTAAACAGTTGCGTTTGCATCGTGCTTTGGATTTGTGAAGTCATAGGAATTCGAAAGAAGTGCGAGAATTTTATCATTCATAATTTAATAGTTTACTTTCCGTAAAACATGTCTCGGGTTGTTCGTGGACCAGCTGGAAATAATGAATGTAGGATATATGTAGGTAATTTACCTCCAGATATCCGTGAAAAGGACATTGAAGATATTTTCTACAAATTCGGAGACATCGCAGATATTGATCTGAAGAACAAAAGGGGCCCACCATTTGCATTTGTCGAATTTCTTGATAAGCGGTAAGGAACCATAACTTATAAGACCATTCGTATACTGATATGAAATGTACAGCATAATGCTATATTCCACTAGCCTATACTAACTGAAAGGTAAATAGACATTTTAGATTAATTTCAACAATTAATTACCATGCTTTGCCTTAATGTTGGCCTTCATGGGCTTGGTGGGCGCATCGGGTCATGCATGGATAGTTTGAGCGGATAATGCCAATGGAATCCATGCACGCACTGGTTGTTGAATTGTTGGGTGAACGACCAGACCATATTAAAGAGGGTATTATTTAGACAGTAAGAAAATAATATATAGGCCTAACTGTATTATGTTATTTGCTATGGTGTAAAATTGTGTGAAAGCTTATGGTTTCTTACGAAGGTAAGGTAAATACTTTAAATTTAAATGAATCTCATTTATTTAGGATTAGGCCTCCCTAGGCCTAGGCTTATTTTATTTTTTTTGTTGAATTTCCTCTTTGTTGAATACTGAGTTCTAATCTTTAGTCCGTTTCTTCTAGAGAGGTAATGGTACTATGTATATCCAGGAATAATTTAAATGATGAGTATAGAAATTCAGCAAATATTAATAAATTTAAAGAAATCATTAATCTAACTTCTGATATTAAATTAATCAATTACTGTATGTATATTGAATTAATTAATGTATACTGTATGTTTTTGATTTATTTTAAACTAAAGATACTATTTAATTTCACATTTTAATCACATTTATTACTTAATCAAATTCTTTAATGTCTTGTTATGTATTTTGTATTTTTATATTTTTCCACTTATGGCCTTGCACGGCCTTGATGAAAAACACCCTTGGGTGATCAAGTTTTTCCATGTTTAAATAAAGTAATTATTATTATATATAAATCCGCTGGTAGTGTATTGTGAATTTTGGGGAGTCAATAAAAAGGACAAAATATGTGCATAGGCCTAATAGATTGAGAAGCCACTGGGTGTGGATCAAGAGTTGGTGAGGAATAACTTCTCCATACCTTCTTTTTCTAATGCAGTCTTTTTTTTATAAAGCTGTAATTGGTTTATTCTTAACCTTAATGATGTTTATTCATCTTCACTCAGGGATGCTGAAGATGCGGTGAATGCTAGAAATCGATACGACTATGATGGCTATCGACTCCGTGTAGAATATCCAAGAGCAAGTAGGGGAGGTGGTGGAGGCGGTGGTGGAAGTTTTGGAGGACGGGGTGGTGGTGGTTTTGATGGTGGAATGAGGGGAGGTGACGGAGGTAGAGATGGTGGAAGAGGAAGAGGTCCCCCTGCAAGACGGTCAAAGTTCAGGGTTTTGGTTTCTGGTAGGTACATGAATGTGAAAGCACTACCACAACATATGTAGGATACATTCTGAAATGAAAAAACAAAATCTAGCAAGAATTCAGACTTTGCTTTTACTGTAGCTAGTATATTAAATAAATAATAATAATAATATTAAATAATAATAATAATAATGTTAATACAGGACTACCGTACTCGCGCGAAAATAAGCGCCCCTTCTAATTTGAATAAGCGCCCCCTCGTAAGATTTTTCTTTTCAGCAAGTCAATAATCCAATCAATCCTGGGACTGTGGTTGTTGGCATGATTTGAGCTGTAGAGTGGAAACACATTCTTCTTCGGTCAATATCAAAATGAGGATATTTCTCTTGGACAGATGAGAGCTCCGATCCCTGGACAGACAGTATATTTCCAACTTTAATCTTTTTACATATTTGTCTAGTCCTACTCCTCTTTTTCTTTTTCCGAAGTTCATGCTTCATCTTTTTGCATTCATTTTGCATTATCTTTACCTTGAGAAATGTCACTTTCATTTCAAAACACGATCGTTAGCTTGATTCACACAAATTGTTTTCTTCAAAACTGCCCATACATGTCCATGCGCATGCCCAGAACGATCTGTTTGGATTTCCTCACCACAACGCAATCGTGTTTGTGTTTAAACAATTAGACAATAGGCTCTATGTTGAATTTGGTTGTTTTTTTTATAATAAACCACATTTGTAATATGATAATACTACTTTACAATAAAGACAAGTAAGTTCAGATAAATGTTAGTCAATCTCGGCAGCCAACGTGGCCGATGTTTTTTTTAGCTAGGCCTGGCCTGCCCAGTGCTAGTCCTACTACTAAGTGGTTAGCCTACCAAATGAATAGGTAGACAGAAAAGACGTAATGATTCACACACAATAGTACGTAGGCCTATGCCTATTAATGAATATTGTACAAACAAATCTGTTTTAGGAAGACCAATTTCCTTGTTTTGACATGTACGTAAAATTTACATTCTGCTATGATACTAGTAGTGGCCTGTTTTAGTCCCAAGTTTTGACTTGCCAAGCAGTTTGAAGCTAAAATTTAGGCCTAGGCCTAAACTAGGTCGGCCCAAAACTGCCATCCTGTTGCAATTCTGGATAGGCTATAATAGTAGTACAGTATATGGTCACTAATTTCACAAAAAAATTTGTTAAAAATGGAAATCTATAGTCATTTCAAAAATCTTAAAAAGCATTTTTGATGTCGGAGAGTGCCATTTCCGGGAATCTAGGTCATTATTTTAAAAAATTGGGGGGAACGTACCATGATGCTTGACCCTCATCCTGGGGAGAACACTGTATAGAGATACAGTAACCTTGACATTGCAAAATAGACAATTGTTTCCATAGAAGTCCACTTAATAATATCAATTGATGGAGGTGCATTTCTTTTATCCTGTCTGTCTGAAAAACTGACTTTATTATCCTCATAGCAATTATGGGTTTGATATTTTTAATGCAACGTAGTAAATGCTGGTCTATTGATAACTCTTTGTCAATAAGTAAAACTTTTATGTAGGCATTGATGTAGTCTATAATAGTCAGTCTGTATGTCTGAATAGTTGTTGCTTGCCCCTTTGGGGATTATGCAATGAGAAGAAGAAGAATTTGTACAAAAAGTCAAATCATTGGCTTTCACACAGGATGTGCGTAATTTCTTTGCCAGATACCCTTTAAATTCTTATTTGACATGCTAGATTTTGAATTATTCTCCTAGGTCTTCCATCAAGCGGTAGCTGGCAAGACCTAAAGGATCATATGCGTGAAGCTGGTGATGTTTGTTTCGCAGACGTGTTTCGTGATGGAACTGGTGTTGTGGAGTTTGTACGAGAAGAGGACATGAAGTATGCCGCCAGAGAATTGAACGATACAAGGTTTCGATCTCATGAGGTATGATTTGTAATTTGTTCGCATTTCTCCAGAAAGTTGTAATAATATTAATCTAAGAATAATCGTTATTAATTAGTATGATGGTAATAGTTTAATAATGTCTGGTTTAGTATAAGAATCTCCTCCCCCCCCCCCTTTTGTTATTTACTTAGACACATGGGCCATTGCAAATTTAATCACCATCTTATCATCCGTATATTTAATATACTGTACTACATAACCATCCTAACTACCAACAAACTACAGATCCACAATATATTGTGCTAAACATTGTCTTTTTTTAAAACAGGGTGAAACATCGTACATTAAAGTAAAAGCTGATGCACCACTTTCTAGAGGGCGCTACAGCAGGAGTAGGTCGCGAAGCTTTTCTCCTAAACGGCAACGTTCGTCCCCTCAATATGCTCCTCACCGATCAAGATCAAGCTCGCATTCATCATCGAGTTCCCGGCGTTAATCTGCAGCTGTTTGTGTATTGCCTCTACACACAAGTCTCAGCTTTCCAACAGATGCAACGAATGAAGCCATTAAGCACTACGTATGTGGCTCTTTTATTAGAATCTTGTTTGTACTATCCCATGAGGCATACAAACATAGTTAGCCATTGATTTAAAATATTGTACAAAAATGTGTTGTTGTTAGTTAATCTGTTGAAATTTAACAAGTTAATGTTAGGATAGCTTTTGGAATTGTAACTAATAGATATTCAGCATAATCATTAGTATTTTCCAGCATTATAATTGATGCAAACAAATATTGATATTCATTTTTTAGTCTTACTATAACTGTAATTGGAAAAATATACAAGTGTATTTTGAGGAGTATAAGGAAACTTTTCCATTATTTTTGTGATACTGTCCGTGGTGAATGATATTTAACAGTCTTGTTTGTTTAGATGAGTTGTTTAGGTAAATGATTCTACCTACAGGTTATCCTCCCATTGTCTTTTGTATGTATGTATTTTAGTCGTGGATCGTCAGAGTACCACAAAGAATTCATCTTTTGTAATGGGAGAGGAATCATCTCCTGTTATAGAATGAATCATGTTTTATAGCCGTATAAATTGAAGTGGGAAGTATTTTTCAAAGAGTGGTATGAATGGAGTTGGTTTTTATTCATCAATTGTTGGTGTGATTTCTGTAAATGTTCATTGTAATTCTAACTCAGCTTATTGTTTTAGTGAAACTTGGCTCTACAGTATTTGAAAATATTGACATTTGGAATATATTAACTTGACAATAAAGTGTAAGCTTCTGTACAGTATGGGTATGAAATAGTTGACTTGGTACAGTTTGTAAATTCAAAATGAAATCGGGTAACTGTCTTGAATTTTATCAAAATTGCTATAATCCTGATATTATAATCCAGTAGATAAATTTGGTTATTCATTTTTGTATCGTTAAAATTAACAGTGTTTCTATTATTTTCATTGTCTGTTTAGATCAATGGTAAGCATACACAAAGGACCAAAAGGACCTGCAAAGGATTTCATTTGATATATAGAAAGGGATTAACAGAGATTAAGGAAATCATTATTGTTAACCACCTCGGGAATCATTTGCAAAGGAATCAAATGGCACAAACCCCATATTTAAGGATCCTCCTGTTGAAGGGAAAGATGAGACCCATTTGGATCAGGATTAACCAAATTATCCACTAGGATTACAAGGAAATTCAGGAACAAGGAAATCTCAATACATTCAGGATTTGGATTAAGGATCATCTTACCCCTTGTAGGAATGTTGAGGATGCCATAAAACACATGAAAGAGGATCAGTTGGGATTTGTGTAAAGGAAACCTCAAATCATGGGAGGATTAAAAAGATAATCCAAATAAGTGTGGATCATTTGGATACAGGGTGCCTGAAATGTGGAATCCACACTGCTTTAAAAAAAAAGGCCCCGTTTTAAATTAAACAATCAGGATGTTTAAAGAATATCAATTTTAATTTGGAAAATATTTCCTTAGTCCTCTATGGATTACAATTGATGCAATTCACACAATTTGCTTTCAGATTTAATGAGGATCAATAAATTTGGAAACAACCCAATTCAATTGATTTCTAGTGCCCATAACAAAATTAAGATCGCATTCTTTTAAAATATCTCAATATTTCAGGGAAGTGGGTAAAAATGAAAAATTATTCTGGTTAAGTATAGTGTTATATTTCCCAAAAAAACCTTTTTACAGGATGCTCCTGAAAATTTTAAGAGGAAAGCGAGGGACAGCTTTGAAAGGCAGGATACTTTCAAATCCAGGAAAGGGATACTTTCAAAAAAGCATTTCAGAAAGGAAATCTCAAATTGCTCTAGGATCAACCTCACAGGAGGGCTTCATTTCCATCATTCAGGATTTGCATTCAGGAATACATCTCCTGTGGGAATTCACATTAGGATAAATGGAAATGCTGCAATTGAGAATAAGTATCATTTTGAACTGTATGGTTCTTGCACACACAGATTTAATCACATGACATGTTAGTCTTCTGTCTGTTCCAGACTACCATTTTTTAAAGTGTTGAGTGTTCTCTGTTTCGTTTGTTCAAACCAAAATAAAATTTTATTTTGCGCAACCATATATCAAGGGGGAAGAAACACTAAACAATAAAAACTAGATTTGTTTATTCAATAAACAAATACTGTAAATGTATTTTTACATTTGTCATCAGCATTTTATTTTTTTTTTTGTTTCTAACCGTATTTCTTTATAATTGAGCACTCTATTGCATCGCTCAATTGCATGTCCAAATTTGCATGATTTATTGAGCAACATCATTTCTTGTATCACAATGTATGTTGATTTTTTTCTTCACAGCTTAGGCAGTGCATTGCAGTCACATGCTCAATGTACTGTAAATTAATATATTAAATAACATGAATGTAGATGTTTCCACTACAGAAATGTTTTCTGATTTAAATTGTTTAACCATGAGTTTCTTCCAGGTCTTGTACAGTAGACGGTTTTCAACTTGTTTCTGTGGATTGTTGCAAGGATATGACACTCAACATACAAGACTAATAAAACGAATACGTATATAAATTTTAATAAAAGTGCACATTGAATTAAAGGTATTTTTACACATGTTATTACTTTAGTTGACTGATTTATTGCGTACAGTTTCGTTAGTGTCAAAACTTGTTAACTTCGCTAGATGGATTTCTCAGTTAAATAAAAATTTACAATTCCAGTGCTCCATAACAGCTACAAGTTTATGAAGAGATGACATTCAAGCAGCCTGCACCACGGAGTTCATTTTTTTTACTCTGGAAAACTGGACTCTACCATTTTCACAGTAATCAACTTAACAAAGTTTTAGTTCTAGCTGTTGCCTTTGGCTAAAAGAAAATAGAAAAATATTTTCAATATTATAAATGCAGACAAGGGCATACAGTACAGTACTTTGAAGATTTGCAGTGGTGATTTGAAAGTGAAAGTGCCTGATAAAGGGTCTGTATTGAGTACCAAGCTGTGCATATGTTGGGTCATGTTCGTTCATATTACAATTGTCAGAAAAATTTATCTTAACATAACTATAAATGTATAAAATTCATAATCACTATGCTACCTGAAGGGACCACAAAGTAATCTTCGCATGTTTTTGCAGCATTTTTCATTATTTCCTCTGCATCCCCACCTTCTGTTACCACATCCTCTCTCAAATACAGCGATCTGAAAGCAATAACTGTAAACATTCAGTGGCAGATTCAGGATCCCCCCCCCCCTTTAGAAAGAGGAGAGAGATGAAGAGTGGTTGTCATTGTCAGTCAAGAACCATTGGGTTTAGGGTGTTGCATTCATTTTATGGTGTTGGGGGTGGGGGTTACAGAGAGCATAACCACCTAGTTTCAGTCATCTCGACTTCTTATCTGAATGATTTTACACTATTTCTTAGCTGCTGCTGGGGGAGAGCTTCCCTTTGACCACCCCCAGGATTCAACAGTAAAGTTGACCAACTGTCAAACTGTTTTTGGCACGGCAGCTAACAGTTAGCAGGATCCGGATCCTGCTAACCGTTGGCTGCCGTGCGTCCATACGAGAAAATCCCAATCCGGATACCAAAAATATGATGATCGAATCACTGGCCAATAAAAAACTGGAAATTGTAAACGCGTACATGTAATTGGTTGATGATTAAAATGCGCTCAACTTGCTAACCGATAGCGCTTGCCAGATACTGGTAACGGTTAGCACTAACCGATCGGGCGTTCCCACGCAGGTGCTAACGGTTAGCTCCCGATCCGGATACTAGGGCTCTCGTGAGAACCTCGCTAAAAAGCACTTCACATTCATATTGTCTTTCCAAATGGAATAAATGGAAACCACCTTGTAGGTTCAAGTAACATACACTCATTATGGAAATTGATTCAGTCACTGGGGAAACAATTAAACTGAAGTATAAGCCACCGCATTATGTTCTATACTGTATACAGTAACAGTGCCATGTTAAAGTAAATAGTGTCATTTTTTTTTTTTCAGTAATTACAATACTTCGAAAACACCGGCCTGTAAAGGCAAGCCTTTGCAAACTTATTTTCTTTAGAGGAGGGCGGAAATAAAAATAAAATTTTGTTTTATTTAGCAAATAGTTTTGCCAAAACACCCAGATGAAGGGAAAAATAAAATTTTATTGGTAAATGTAAACAGTGTATTAATAGAATGCTGAAATGCTTTAAATATATATACTGTAATTAGGAAGATATATAAGGTACAGTACATATCTTACTTCAGGCGATTCTTTCTGCCTTGAAATAAAAAATATATAAAAATATGCCCACGCCAACCCAACATGTCTGTCACAATCAGAGAGTGTCATTTCTGGCCATCCAGAGGTTCTTATTGTTCTTTAAAAAAAATATCATTTGGGAGGGGAAACACCCCCTATCGGACAGCTCTGCCCCCCCCCCAAGAAATATTTGCTACTGATCATATTGAAAGTAATACAGTATTATACTACCGATCCTCATGTAGAGAATACATTGGCTCAATTCCTGTTGTGTCAATTATGGTTATTTGATCTGCTAATCTGATTGCTTTGTTGAGCCTTTCAATACCTTCTTGGTTCGCGAACTTTATCAGTGCCAACGTTTCTATCCTTTTGATTGTTTCCAAATCTATCGTCGTTTCCTGAAAAGAAAGAAGTGGGTTTATTTATTATACAGCATAAATTCATGCAAGAATGCAGGCACTCCAGCATGGTGATGTGCTACACAGGTTAAGAAACAAAAAATTCACAAGGGGAAACAAAAAAATTCAAACTTTATTGTCCAATGCAATGTAAAATTAAAACGTAAATGTACTGTGTAATATATTATCAATAAATACAATGTAGATGATAATACAGTACAATATTACAACAGCAAAAAAACATTTGTATTGCAAAAACAAGGAAGTCTGGGAATCTGAGAAAATAATCAATTATACATGAGCCCCATGGTGAATTGGAAACAACACTGTATTAAAAATTGCTAAACTGCATTAAAAACGATGACAAACCTCTGGTAGAATAGATTTGTTGATTTCTTTCCAGACAGACTTCCTTGGAATCTACAAAAAAAAAAAAATCTCTATTGATGTTGTCTTATAAATAATTATTAAAGACTTTACTTTATTGTAAGGGCACATAAAAAAATATTATTAGAATCACTCTTTAACAGAAAAAGTAATGAGGGCGGGCTTTTTTTTTTATCGCAAAAATAGAATATTGCTCTTTTTTTTAATCGATGAGGGTGGGACTGTTTTTATTTGGCAAGAATATTGTAAATATTATATAAAAATTGGTTTAACTTTTAACTATTGTTTTTTTAAAGAAAATGTATTTCAGTCACAAAATTGCATTGCTTTTTTATGCTGTTGAAATAAATGATGCAGCGTGGCAAAAAACTTTTTTTTTTATTCCCGCATCAATGTTTCCCAAATTTATGATGCAGGCGGGAGTGATAATCTAACAATTGTTTCTATGTGCCCTAAATGAAGATACTGTTTCTGATACTGTTATATACTCTTTCATACAGTATATTCTAATAACCCAGAGTAGGCTAACGCCTAGTAATTTGTAATCTCAAATTTCTGTATATTTTATACAGAATACAATATATAAGTGTTCTTTCATATCATAGCTTCTGTACTTTTTGCATAACAAACGATAACCATTATCCTTTATTAAGCAAGGGGGTCTTTTATTAAGTTTCGGTGTATTTTGCCTCTGTTATTTATTGTTCCTCGCCCACATAGAGTTAATACCTGTATATTACTCTACCATGCCACACTGCCGTGCGCTCTCAAGAAGACTGACCGCTAAAACCCCAAGACAAAACATAAACATGATGAAATAAATCCCTCCAGCTACTGTTTGTAGGCCTAGCTTTCATTAGGCTATATTCAGTCGTAGATTTGCGACTTGTTCTTACCGTGGGATGTAAATCATTCCTTGTTGATAAACAGTAAAACCTATTAAACTGTATAAGACTTTGCCATGGATGCATTAGTTTATGGTTTTGTAAACATTTCGTAGACGAAGATACAACATGGAACATGGGGGCTGCCATCTTGTCTTCATCACTGGAGAACACAACATGGATTAGCACGCAATATGTTTCATATAATATTGCACGCAGAATGTAAAACAAGTAGAATATTAAAAACTGATTATATTTTAAAGAATATTTGATAAATTTCAAGCCAGATAAAATCTAAAGTAGCGTAAAGTAAACGAACTAATTTTTAATTGATTGCATGATGGGAAGGTTTGGAGGATGAACAAACACGTGGTTAGGCATTTTGTAAATAAACCTTGGAGAGGTGATGCGCTAGCTAGGCCTAGCTCCAGAAGATTTCCTTACTGTTAAAAAGACGGCAAAGGCATTCAAAAGTGGGAAAATTTCGAACACTAACACTACCCACAGTGTAATTTTGAATATTTTAGAAATAAGTTTCGAAGAGAAGTAGGACGGTTAAACATGAATAGTGTTGGACCAGAATGCACAGCTATGAAAAAGGAGTAGGCTACGATGATTGTTTCAACGCCTGGTACAGTGAGAAGTTTTTGAAGGGCGATTATCGAGATACATGCTCAGGAATATTTAAGAGATACCAAGAATGCGTCAAGGTAACTGTCTCAGAAATATAATGTTTTATGTTAATGAAAATATACAATAATAATAGAAGTCCCTCCCATCCATCAGCTGTTCTCATCACATATTAAGTATCAATACACACGAATAAATTATTGCAGCAAGGAGAGAATGCATTGGAAATATTTTAAATTTTGTTTTTATAACCCTATAGTATTAATTATTCAATTTATTATTTTTTTTATGAAATATGTGTTTTCTGTATTTTTTCAGAAGGCCATTAAAGACCAAGGAATTGAATGGGATGAAATAAATAACCAGGTGTTAGGAACAGACTCGGAGAAGCAAGTGCCACCTTCAACAAAGGCTGACGGAAAATCTTGATGATGGCGGATAAATTGTTGGAATAATTAGCTGAATTCAAATCTACAAAATATAGATTAATGCAACTTAAGGGCTCTGGAGCTCAGGAACCTTTTGGGGAGTGATGGACCTTGTGCCCCCCCCCCCCAATAGGGGAATTTCTAACATCGCCATTGGATGCAACCATTAATTACAATTTATGATGTGTTTAAGACTATAGCAGGGGTGGGCATCAAAGTTGGTCGGTGGGCCAAAGTAAATTTTTGATTTAACACCAATGGCTGCACTCAAACTTTAATGTTGCCAGTGTGCTTCCAAAACACTCCAAGCATTGCTTTTACACCACTTTATTCTTAGTTTTAATATAACTTTTTACAAATGATCGGTGTCGGGGCATAAAAAACAAGGCGTTATCTAGCCAATCTTGCTTGGCACACACAGGGTTTTTAATTAATTTTTGCAGGCTGAAAAAAAATTGCTGTTGGGCCGCACTTTGCCCACCTGTGATCTACAGGGTGATCATTTGTTGTTCACTCAATGTGGACAATGATTTTATAATGGAAAATCCTCAGACGTGGATTTATCTACTGGATTCTGGCATTAATGTGCATTATTAATTGATATACAAACACATGATGATTAAATAAAGTATATGAAGGTTCATCTAATTTTGTCAACTTTTAAAGACAGTAAAAAAAAAGTAAACTTTCCTGTGACATGTGATCCTTTCCCTCCTGTCAGATCATGATATAAAAGATTGATTTTTATTAAATAAATACTGTGTGTTCAATGTACTGTATAGTTTATGTTGGTTGTAGTATCCAACTCTAAATACTGTAAAAATGAATAAAATATATTGAATACCCTCTTTAATGAGAATAATTATAATTAATTGGCACTAGTAATAATTGTTGATGTTTATATAATGAGAACATGATGTGCAACATATTATTACAGCAGATACAGTACCACAAACGCCAGGCACTACACAATCGTTAATGGTGTAAATTTATTCTTTTAAATACTGAAAGATGGGCATTATTGTGATCACGTTCCATATGTCAGAATTTTTCTCTCAAAATTGTTACATTTTTTATAAATTATATTATTTTTATGATTATTGTATTGTTTTTATTCTTATTATCAGTGGGACAAAAAATCTGTATATCAAGATCAGTATAAAATAAAGTGCTGTACATCAATTGAATATAGATAGTTGTATAAGTTCCTTGATTATCACTGAAAGTAATATGTACATATTCTTTTGATTACAGTCACTTGTCATGTCTGTCGTTAAATATACATTTTTATGATCATTGTATAGTATTATTTTATTTACGATTATTCATATTATTATTTCTACAAGAAATATGTATACCAGTTGATTGAATTTAATCATAATCAAAGTAAAAAAAAACAATTTACAAGATACTGACTGGATAAAAATTGCACAAAAACATGACCCTAATTACGAGGAAAATCCCAACAAAAAAAAACTTATTTCCATTTTTATAGCAGTATAATATGATAAATTACATTCGCTCGTTGTTTTCAAAAGTTTTATTATTATTATTATTATTTAATATTCAACACAACAAACCGACTTGTGCTGTACAGGATCCCTTCACAGCGGTACAGGCTAGTGCAGTTTTATCAGGATACTGATACGTATGATTTGTTCTGTTGGCTTGTTTGTAGTGTTATACAGTACTTACCGTATAACAATACAATCGATAATGCGTGATAAGAAAATATTATGAGCTGCATTGATAGTTAAATTTTATTTACGATTATTCATATTATTATTTCTACAAGAAATATGTATACCAGTTGATTGAATTTAATCATAATCAAAGTAAAAAAAAACAATTTACAAGATACTGACTGGATAAAAATTACACAAAAACATGACCCTAATTACGAGGAAAATCCCAACAAAAAAAAAACTTATTTCCATTTTTATAGCAGTATAATATGATAAATTACATTCGCTCGTTGTTTTCAAAAGTTATTATTATTATTATTATTTAATATTCAACACAACAAACCGACTTGTGCTGTACAGGATCCCTTCACAGTGGTACAGGCTAGTGCAGTTTTATCAGGATACTGATACGTATGATTTGTTCTGTTGGCTTGTTTGTAGTGTTATACAGTACTTACCGTATAACAATACAATCGATGCGTGATAAGAAAATATTATGAGCTGCATTGATAGTTAAAAACGAAACAAATTAAATCAGGGGTGGCGCCAGGATTTGCACGAAAGGGGAACAGAGGTCCCCGACTCGAATCCCGTTGGAGGCATTTTATTACACAATGACTTTTATGAGGACTTTATTCGTTGGAAAGCTATTAGCCTACGATGTCCCATCATGTCCTTATTTAAACACTGTATATGTACCTTTGATGATTTATATAA